CAAGTATTCATATGTAAGTCTCTGCCTGATTTTTACATTCTAGGTAACAATATGGACTGTATGAGAGTCTAATGTTGGACAAAATACAATTTCTTCTGTTCTCTTTGTGTTAATATTATGTATTATTATCACTTCACTCAACCACTTAGTTTTCAGCACGTTGGTGCAGCTCGGGTAGTTGGAGTTACTACACAGAAATATTAGTGTGGTTAATGACACAATGCAATGTGTGTAAATGATTGTTATGGTGAAAATCTAATACTTTCATCAGGAGTGTGCCAGAAATGACATTTTAGTGCCTAAATATTGAGTGTAAAATTGAGCCGCTATCATGCCCTAGTCTTATGGGGAAAATCCACAAATTTAGCTCAATATCTCACAATGTTTTTCTAGCTCTTAATAGATGTTTGAAACTCCAACACACTAGTATCTTGATGGGTCATTTCACAGATGCCCAGCTGAGTATTGGAGCGTGATTAATAGTGGCAACAGGGATCTTCCGAGGGGAAGTCAACGAGAGGAAGTCAACAAGAGTTTGTGAAACCACTTCAAATAAAAATGCTCAAAAGCAAGTCAAAGTGCATTCTGGCAATATTCAGGAGCGCTGAGCTGCCAGTACATTACATGGTGTTTACATTAGTTGTTGGAATGGCTGACGACCTACAGTTCACTATCAGTTTCCCCAAACACTTGTCATTTCATTGGAAAGGTAAAGTATTACGAAATGCAATCGCAAAATGGATTTATGCAATATTCAAATCACAGGAGGCTCAATGTGTGTTACAGGCAAAATATGCATTAATATTATTTAGGAAAAAAAGAGGGTGTTGCTGCATAGATGTCCTGATGTTCAAATTAAAAATGTTTTGTCTATAGACTTAATCTAATGTCTTTGTTTGGTACGCATCCCTTTAATACAATCACAACCTGAATGTGTGTGTGTACGTTCATGTGGAGGACAAACTGTAAGGAGGCTGTAAGGAAATTAAACAAAAAGGCATGGTACACACTCTAGCTAGCTATGCTGTGTCTTTTTCAATATCAGTGGAGTCGACCTGAAGCGTGTAGGGGGAGGGAGAGAGGGAGAGAGAGGGAGAGAGAGGAGAGAGAGGAGAGAGAGGAGAGAAAGCGGCTGGATAGTCGGCCATCTTCTAATACATGGGATGTACTGCAGTTAGCAGAAGAATCAAGCCAAACGTGTGGGCTCATTGCAGGTGCATGTTTCAAATTTGCACAAACTGTCAAAACATTACAAGATCAATGCGTATCAATGATAAGGTCGGGGACTTTTTCCTATAAAGGGAGCAAACACGTCCAATTTCTTAATTTTGCATCAAACTCTGATTGACTGCAGAGCATCTTTTGAATCCAATGAACCAATCAATCAATGAAAATGTATTTAAAAAGCCAGTGTTTACAGCATCAAACACCCTCAGACCCCCGCAGCGTAGAAGAAAAAGCTCCTAAGAAAACCCCACAAATGGGAAAGAATTAAGAAACCTCTCTGATCAGCATATTGATCTGAAATATCTATCATGCTTTGTGTTATAATTACGTCAAGCACAGCCATGAAACAGGGAACAGGCTGATTATGTAAACATGTTTTCTCCTAACGTTAAGTGATTTAGGTTTCCCTGAGGAAAATTGATTTTCCTTCCACATCATTTTCCAAAGACATACATTGATCAGCGGATTAACTCAAAATTCTTCATGAATTTGCTGTTAAAACATTAAGCAAATTGAATCATTTTGCACTGCTGGTCGGAATTAAATGAAACTAATGAACAACTAATGGAAAGAATATTCAGAGAATCAAACCTCTATGAAAACAAGTCCTTTTAGCCCTAATTTCCTATTCAAAAGGACTCTTATACCTCATTCACACCAACGGTGTTTCAGGACCGGTTCGGAGCTGGAGCTTGAAAAGCACCGGGTTTTCCTGTTCACACCGCAGCGGAGCAGCCTCTTAGCTCCGGAATCCGGTTCGTTTCAAGCACCAAGAAATTGTCCGACCAGAGCAAAAGCACCGCATACGTCACGCTTACGTCGAGACGGGGGCAGGGGCGGGGGCGGGGTCAACTCCTGAACAACAACAAAAAGCCGGCGTTTTATCCAGTTTGTACACAACGATGGAGAAACTTAACAAACAGCAGTGGTCCACTGAAGAGACCAGCTACCTACTGGGAATCTGGTCTTCCGAAGAGGTACAGAGGAAGCTGGAGCACAATCGGCCATTGTTGTTGTCTCAGCTGTGAGGGGTTTCCGCGCGGTTTGGCTTTATGAAGCAGGCACGCAAACGGTTACGTCATGACGCAAACGATGACGCAATGACGCAGCACCAGTCGGACTCTGGGCGGTGTGAAAAGAGCCGGAGCTTGAACCGGAGTTGCGTTGGTGTGAATGAGGTAAGAGAGACAGAGACACCACACCACACATGCTGCACACACAGCCAGAGGAGAAGGAGAGAGAGGCCGTTTCTCAATGTCGAGTAAACCTGCTGCAGCGCCACTCGATGACGTAATATACTTGAAATAGTGGCTCTGCAGCAGGTATACTCGAGATTGAGAAACGGCCAGAGACTACAGCCTTCCTCAGGTCCTTTATGGAGGCCCTGATTGGGGATTGGGAGCACCTGAGGGAGAGGCTGCACCTGGAGGGAGTCAATCAGGGGGAGAGGGGGAGAGAGACACACAACACACTCCCGCACGTAACAAGATGCTTTAAAAAAAATTTTTTAGAAAGTTCACAAGGCCTGATTTAAAGACATTTCTAATAAACTTCCTTAATATCGACAGTGGTTGAAAAAGTGCAGTTTTGTTTAATAAAATAAATGTTTTATGAAGCATTTCTTTTATTTATTCTTCCGCAGATAGTTCGTCCTGTTCCCTCCCCGAGGAGAAAGGTTCTCCCTTCAGATAAAAGTGAGGACAAGGAGCCGGAAAACGAGCCGGAAAAGTCTCTGACCAGAGCCGAGGTCAGAGGAAACACTTTGTTATTATTTTATTATTTTATTTTCTTCTTAAATTTTTTATTTTTTTCATTTTGTATTCATTAATTTTTTTTTATTCTTAATTTTTTTCAATTTTATTTTCATTTTTAATTCTAACATTTTTTACTTTTTTCAATTTTTACTTCACATTTTTTTTTTTTATTCTTACATTCCTAAATGTTTTACTTTTTCACTTTTACATTTTTTATTCTTCATTTTTTTTACATTTGTCAATTTTTACATTTAATTATTTCTATGTTTTAATTCTTCATTATTGTATTATTTTTATTATTTTTATGATTATACATTTTTTTATTGTATTACGATATTGTTTTTACTATTATCATTATTATTATTAATAAAATAATAATAATGTATTTTATTTGATCATTCATGTGGAAACATCAGGAGCACAAAACCACACCTGTACACTTATTTATTTTAATTATACATGTTTGTGATTATTGTTGTGAATAATAATATTGTATAATATCATCTTTAATAAAGCACACAGTTAAAATACAAATTCACAACAATAATCACAAACATGTATAATTAAAATAAATAAGTGTACANTACTACGGCTTCCACAGATGACTTGTTTTTATGTATTTTTTGTCAAAGCACTTCAGATATTCATTGCTATCTGGATGTGAAGAGCATTCCATGGAATATAACAAAAAGTGTATCTCGAGCCGGTTTCTCAAACTTACCCCACCTTTAATAAAAGTATAGCTTGTACCTTATACCCCGCCTCCGACTCCCGTCTCTCGGCACTACATATCAAATATTTAAATAAATTCAAGGCACTTGTTTTATCCCCAGGGGGTAATTTGTAGAGAAGCACATTAACACAAATATTTCAAAAGTAACTGTATTATGATAATAAGTGTCCGGACCAAAGAAGACATTGTTTGGTGATTGGTATTTTAAGTATAAATACTAATAAACACACAATATATATATATTAGGGCCGGGACTCGATTAAAAAAATTAATCTAATTAATTACAGGCTTTGTAATTAATTAATCGCAATTAATCGCATTTTTAATCG